GATAATGAGTTTCTTCGAAATCAAAGCTTCAAGTTACTTGAAATATTGTTCCGTCCATATTCCTTTATTCAAAAATCGATATGGAAACTGTAAAGCATAGTTTTGAGACCCGGACCGGCCCGTGTTGGGTTTTGCTCTTTGTCCCACATCGATTGTGGAATGAAAGAGAGGGAGATTTTTCTCCTATATAAGAAAGTTCTACTTCTTATGTAAAATCATCCCACAGAGTTATTGTGTTAACAATTAATCTCTGGTTAAAAATCCCTTAGGGTGAGAGTTAAGGTTAACGGATAGAAAATTCTGTGGGGTAATTTTGGGTATAAGTGAGTGTAAAAAAATTATGTGATTGTAATTTTTTACATAGTGGATTTTCTACGGCCTTGTTGCCCTGGTGGTTTTTCCCTCTTCGTTAACAGAGGGTTTTCCACGTTAAACTTTGTGTTCTCCAGTTTTATTATTTCCAGCGAATCTTGGGCGGAGTTTCGGTGTGGTCGGAATTCCCAACAATTATGATCTACTGTTTTTACAATTTGGGTAATGTTTGCAGTAATACAGTTATTATTATGTGCTTGGCCTTGAGATAGAATTTGAGGTATATCATATTATTATTATTATTATTATTATTATTATTATTATTATTATTATTATTATTATTATTATTATTATTTGATTAGTGCTAAAATTTTGCATAATATTCAACTAACTAACCCCATGTCTCACTTTAGGTTAATTTTTTGGTTGGATTTTTGTGTTACTCGATAGTTATTATTACAATTTAAGAAAAAAACGTGGTTGTAGTTGTTAAACGAAACATATTGTACTTGTGAGTTCGATCTGACTCGACTGGTTTGATAAAATATTAAAATGTTGAGTTCAGACTCATTTAGTTAAGAGAGTTATATATGCTCGTTGAGCATAATTTGATTCGAACAATATGAACTTTTACACGATTCTATGAACTTTTAACTTGGCGCGACTCGTTAAGGTTCAGATTCAACTCATTAATATTAATAAACGAGTTGAATTCTAACTCACTTAGTTACTCGAAAGCTCGATAAAGGTACAACCGAGCAGGGGCGATTTTACATGTATTAATAGGGGGCAATTGCCTCCCCCTCAATTTTTTATTTTTTTTACTATTAATATTAAAAAAATTGTAATTTCCTCCCTCTTAAATTTATTTTTGCACCCCCAACCCTATTTTTTTTTTTATGTATTTTTGTTATCTTTTACAAATTATGTCATGTATTTTGTCCCCTCGTCACTAATTTTCTAGTTTCGCCCCTGCAACCAGCATTCGAAACTCTAGCTTGGCTCGACTAGTTTAATGTGCAACTTGTGGTAAGTTTTTGGACATTATTACAACAACCTTATTCTTCACATTCAATGTTTCAATATGCCGATGAAACATCAAATTCAGTGCTTAATCAATAGATCCAACACAAACATAAATGACATGGGCGGTTCTACGAAAACTAAAAATAATTATTAAATATATTTTGCTTGTCTTTGTTTCTTTTTTGTTTATTAATTGTTCAACTTAAGGACTGAAAATATCAAAAACCTATTTATATAAAAATTCTATTTTCGAGCCTTAACAAGTTTTGTCGAGTTGAACTCGCCAAACGAATTTTAAATAAGCTCGAGTTCCGCTCGTTGAGGCCTCGAACTCGAGTCGAGCCAGACTCGTTTAATTTCACAGCACTAATCACACCAGATAAACATCGTTTTAAATTAACTGTGGATCCAAAAATCGGCTCGATTCCGGATTAGTCGGTTCCCCTGTGGATCCAGAAACCGGAAGATCCTTGTACCAAAAAAAAAAAAAAAANGAGAGAGAGAGTAAAATACAGTACGAGGATTAATTTTTATAAAGTTTGAATCTTTATTTAACAAAATGCAAGTGACGGTCCAAGTTTCAGCAGATACCCACAACACACACACTGTAAACACGTTGCCATACAAAGAGAGCCGCGCGCGCGCGCACACACACACACAGTGTACACAGAGAGTGAACTGTAAATTCAGAGTATACTAATAACGGGGCTTCCCAATTATTTGGGCGAGATAATATTATTAATTTTTTTTTTTCAGATCTACAGTGGAAAGTTGTTCTAGGCCTATCGGGGTTGAACCAGACAGAGTTCTTGGATTTTATCAGAAGGTCAGATTTTTTCGGGCCTTTTCGGGCTCTTTGATTGGTTTCCTCAAATGGGCTTGTCGGTTTTTCATCTGATTTTACACATACATTTGCGTGTTCGATATACCTTGATAGCCTTGAGAATTTATGGACAGTTGATGATGGTTTGATGAGTGTTCTGTTTTTGCTTCTTTTTCAAGCTCTTATGCA